GTCTACAAAACAGCAAAAACACCAAAAAAAAAAAGGAGAAAAAAAAAAGAAGTTGCACATTTGTTGGCAAAAAGTTATCATGAACTCCTTTTTCTATTTCTTCCCACACTTCATCTGCTGTGCTTCAGTGTTCAGGGCCTGGTGTTAGCAAAATATTCCTGTGAGGACGACCCGTTGTCCTCTCCTGTCCCACAGCTCCCAACACGTCCCTCACCAGCTCTTCACTGACTTGTTAATAATCATGATGGTCGACAGTCATCAGATAAAGTTGAATATATTCTGTATATTAAAAACCAGTTCTGTTTTTTTGTTTATTTTCTGCCAAGTTGGGCTAATTCTAATAATTATTGGACATAAATTGAACTGTAAATTGTAAAACTGTAGAAAATATGTAAATATACATATTTAATCTTTTCCTGGATTGAACACATTTTCTGCTTCACCAAAAACCTTCGATCTCTACATGAAATAATGTTTCTTATTTAAAAAAAAAGAACTTGAAAGAGTTTGTGTGAAATGATCTGCTGCAGATACACTCACCTTTTGGTGTTATTGATTTTTAATCTGTTCTCAGGATTATTTTAGTTTTTTTTTTCCCTAATTCTAATCTAAAGACTTCTTTAGACTCAAATACAAACAGCTTTGTTTTAAAGTGCCTGCGACATACTTATTATTCAAATACAAAAAAAGTCAAAGAAAACATCTTTATAGTTAATAAAGTTGGAATAATACACGATTTAACTCATTTTGTCGCATAATTGGAATAATTTCTTTTGAACTTGGTTCAGCCAAAGTGAAACAGGAAGTGACATCAAAGGGGAACTCTTTAACAAAGAAAACTCTGGTCTTTGTTTATTGAAACAATATCATTTGAACTCTGACTGTTCATCTCTAATAGTGACTCAAAATAATCTTAAACATCAGATTTTTCTCTACAGATTGTGTTGTTGGCTGTTGTAGCAACGCTCTGTTCACGTTCAGACATTCCTCTTTGACATCACTTCCTGTTACTTCACAGGCGAAAATCTCAACAACTGCTCATCTCAGCGACGTGAAATTTCTTTTGCAATATTTTATCAATGTCCTCTTTCTAAAAATGCATTCACGTGGATTACAAAAATTTGACGTCACGGGCACTTTAAACTTTAAAGAAATAAAAGCTCATAGAGAAAGGTCAAATATTTGGAGAAAAGCACAAAATCCTGAATTTTATTCTTAATTTTAAGACAGTTTTCATCAGTAAATGTTGGGCAGTGTGAAGCAGCAACAGATGTTTGCAAATCGACTCGATTTAACTTAAAAATGACTCGAACTAAATTAAAGTGTTATTTAATTTGTGGACTCCATCGTTAAAGTCACGTTAATGTTGGAACTGATCTGCTCAGGTTTGAATGAAGGATTTGGATCATCGACGCAAAGATGCAGAAAATAATTCATGGTTTGGATCAGCAGTTTAGACCCAAGTGGTCCGGTCCAGAGGGGTKTCTGCTGGGCATGTGCTCAGTGGAACTCCCCACAGATTAATGAAGAGGTTTTTAATCCAAGGACTCGGATTTGTCTGAAAATCTTTGGTTTTAAACTCAGTTAGGAAGCTTTTAAAAGGAAATGTTGTGTAAAACCAACATGTTTTAGTTGCTAACCATCAATCCATCCCTGATCCATCAGTCTCTCCTTCAGATGAATCAGTTTGTTTACCGGCAGCACAGCTGGACAAACAACCCAACAAGGAAAAGTAGTTCTGTGTTTGAGCAGCAGGTGTCTCTGTCTTCTCTGGAGTTTCTTCACCTGGACACACAACCTGCTGCTTGGTTTTAGCCTTGTGTTCTAGAAACATGCTTATTTTCACCTTTTAATACGATTTCAGACAGATTTTATTCTCTTTACCTGCGTTTTCTTCCCGGATCATGGGGAGCTGGTTATCTCCAGCGGGACACATGGAGACAAGACGAGCGTTCAGCCTCTCTGTCCCCCACACTAAGGAACACTTTAGTTACTAACAAACCCGACATCTTCTCGTTTGAGGGAACAGCGGCACCTGGACCTGTAGAGTGCACACAGGGAGGCTGGGAGGGGAACCTGCGACCTAACCACTGCGACCTAACCACTGCTCCACCGTGCACCCAAGTCTAATCATAGTTTTAAATCTGAGGTCATTTAAAGAGCTATCACACCTTCAGAGTGGTTGAACTACCCTTTTAAAGAAGCAGCAGGAGCCTCATGTGCTTTTCTAAATTCAGTCATTAAAGAAAATAAACCCTTTTGTGTGTGTGTTTGTGTGTGTGTGTGTGTGTGTGTGTGTGTGTCTCTGATAGAACATGTCGCTGAATGAAATAAGAACAAAATAGTTAAAAAATAAACAGCGCGCAAACAATGCGTAGTTTACACGTTGACAATACGCTGTTGACGCGTCAAATACGTGTTAAGCATCAAAATTTAACACGTATTTGACGCGTCATTACGCATTGTTGACGTGTTGTTGATGTATTGTTTATGCATCATTTACGTGTCAAATTAACACGTAATGTCTACGTAGATTTGTCACCACTGGCTTTCCATATTTGTATGTTGGAGTGTGTGTGTGTCTCTGATAGAGCATGTCGCTTAATGAAATAAGAACAAAATAGTAACAATGCGTAGATTACATGTTGACACAATAACACACTGACGCTTCAAATACATATTAAATTTTGACGCGTCGAAATTTAACACGTACTTGAAGTGTCATTACGCGTTGTTGACGCGTTGTTGACGCATTGTTTACGCGTCATTTACGTGTCAAATTAACACGTAATGTCCACATAGATTTGTCACCGCTGGCTTTCCATATTTGTGTGTGTGTGTGGCTCTGATAGAACAAGTCGCTGAATGAAATAAGAACAAAATAGTTAAAAAATAAACAGCGCGCAAACAATGCGTAGTTTGCACATTGACAACACGCTGTTGACGCGTCAAATACGTGTTAAGCGTCAAAATTTAACATATTTGATTCGTGATTACGGATTGTTGACGTGTTGTTTACGCGTCATTTACGTGTCAAATTAACACGTAATGTCTACGTAGATTTGTCACCACTGGCTTTCCATATTTGTATGTTGGTGTGTGTGTGTGTGTGTGTGTGTGTGTGTGTGGCTCTGATAGAGCATGTCGCTTAATTAAATAAGAACAAAATAGTAACAATGCGTAGTTTACATG